CGTTGTTTTTTTCTCTCTGACGAGAAGTATATACGTAGGTACGTCCGATGATTAAAAGCTATTCTAATTGAAATTTCTGCCGGGGAATTTTCAAGAGCAACAGGTAGGCGCGTGCAAGACAACCGTAACGGATTCTTGGATTAGCGAGCTGGTTTTTGCTTAATTAGAATCTCTTGTGCAAGTCTGGACGGCATACCTGGCTAATCGAGGAAATGGAACCACGTGTGGTGTACAGGAGTAACTGGATAGCTTGAAAGATTATTAGGCTGTTCATACCTCGATTTATAGGAGTACGGGTTAATATTGATTGAATTTAAGTGTTGCATTTAATGTGGTACTTTGGATTTAATATTGGGCGATAAAGGTGTAAAGACTCTTGTAAAATTCGGATAATCGACGATTAATATTTTCATGTATTAATTTCTTCTTAAATGGTCCAGAACGAAAGAAAATGAAAAATGTAACACAGTTATCGGAACTGTCAAATATTTATGTGTACACTTATACGTACATATCTGTGACGTCATATCGTTCTATTATCGTACCTATTGTTCAACCTATTACGATATCCGTTACATTACAGGATATCATTGTATCGTTACACGTTGACGATAATGTGTACGCCAATAATAAATCGGTGGAAAGGTATTGAAAATTCCGTGAAAGGAGATAAAATGTCCGCGCGAAAGTTGTCAATGGAGGATTCGAGTAGCGTATGACACGCGGTCGGCGAGGAATGGAAGTCAAGTGATTGCAACCTGCGCGATCATGACCCTGCACTAAGCGCGTGTCATAACGTTGGGAAAGAGACGAGACACGAAACTGATGGTCCATGAATAAATATCTTCCTACTGTCAGTCCGAGCGAGTGTGCGCGTAAAAGCGAATTGATTGCGAGTCAAGAGGAGGAAGATTTAACTTAAGAATTAGATATGCCACGAGCGAAACTATGAACGTTGAATTTATTATTTCTTCTTTTTAAATTAATCGTTAGGAAATATGTTCCAATTATTTTGCTATTCACAAAATGCCACTGTTTGTCTTGTTGCAGGGAAGAATGTTCAGTGTTACACAAAATTTATGTCTAGTGACGTGGAAAAAGAGACGTTCGCAGGTGAAGCATCTACAGGAAGCCACGGGATATTCGCAATTTATTACAATAGCTTGGCCCCAAAGTACGTGCTCGTCTCGAAAACAAGGAAACGTCGAGAGACACGGAGAACTTCCTGGTTGAATTTCATTTAACCCCATTCACCGTGGAGTATATTCCACGTTTTTAATTCGATCTATCAAACTATCACTTCGCGTACGGTGTATCTACCTTCGAAGAGGCAGATCCTTGAACCTATCAACGTCGAATATAGCTACAAGTAGAATTTTTCTCCCTCGATACCCTGCGAGATCCTGTTGCTGAATCTTGTGAATGAACAGATTCAACCTGAAAAATGTAAACTCCTTAACAGCTCTTAAATATTCATTTGTAAACAGTGACAAAAAGATTTCTACACAGAGAACACCTAAGTGCTTTTCAACGCCGAACGATTCGACACCAACGCGTTCCACCTCGAAACAATTTCACAGTAATTCCGAAACTGACGTGAGCTCCGAAAAGACGGGAACGTGGGCGCCAGGTGACGGATTCCAACGTGGGTGATTAATGAACGATCTTCGACCTCTGACAAATCGTGAAAAGCAAGGTTTAGCCGGTGAATTTGGATCAAGGATGGATCTTGTCCGTTTCCTGCAACGCTCATCGTCAAAGGCGGCTCGAATCTGTTTCAATGTGCTATCTACCCGGTCTAAGAATACGCGTTACCCGCAACATTTAACGGGAGGAATGCGTTCCACGCAATATCGCACTTCCTAGATAGGCCTTGGACGTCACGGACGGGTTTCTGCTCGTCCGTTGAAAGGGGAAAAATCAGCATTGTGCCACAATTAAGCCGCGCAATTTACGAGTAACGCTCGAAGCACGTCGATAAATAAAAGAGCACCTTGTTCGCTGGTCGAGTAGGGGGTAGCTCGTCTCTCTTCGTTCTTTATGATCGATCGTTAGGCGATCTTCGCTGCCTGTGTCTTCATCTTCTGCACGGGCAACCATGTTTTCTAGCGATTTTCATGGTAATCAACGCGTGATTCGCGCTCCTCTACAATGACAGATACAGGATGCTGCTCGAGAAATGTTGCACAGATCGCGAGAGAACAAAAACGTCTGACACGGCTGTTATTTATTACGTGTTAATCAAGACGATGTCGCAAAATCGAGACGTTCGAGAGCAAGTCGAGCGAAAATAGAGACATGGAAAAACGGCGAAGCGTGGACAAACAGTATCGAGTGGAAAATATGTAAGTGATTGATTATCGCGATTGTCGTAATTATTGCAAATTTGTTAACAAGCTGCAACGATATTACTCGTAAGGAGGAAATATTTCTTCTACCCTTGGACGATTTGTATCAGCTCAACCCGGTTACCACGGTTGCAAAAAGGTGACGCATTCGAGCAGTAGCTTAAAGTTCGATTGATACGCTACACGTTGTGCTGTCTTTTATGATAATTAATGTAGGAGTGGTTCATAGGCGATAAATAAACGCGTTAATCGCTTTCCATTTACTTTTTATCCACTATGTGGCGCCTGTATTCTTGTCAAGCTAACGCCTCGCACTTTATCGCACAGGAAATGCCGTATAAATATTTTTTCTCTTCGTTTCCTTTTTTTTTCTGTCTTTATATACCAACGCGAGAATGCCTTTTACGCGAGTCGCCCGGATGTCGGACCATTTCTGACTCATACTACTTTGTTATTTAGGATTTATCTGGGTTTTACGCGAGACCAACCCCTCGCCCCGGACCGATACACGGTTCCACGATTGTCATTTTATTCGTCACAGTGTCTAATGGACGCGGAAAAAGAAACCGGTTTGAACGGGTAGAACCGGCGAGTAGGACGATACGTTCGTCGTAATTTTGAAATACAACCGTTCATTAAACGTACAGAGCGAGGACTGTTTACCTTTACCGCGACCACGAGGCCTCGTTAGGCCGTGTAAATGATAATAATAACGCTGATTAAACTAACGACAAGCGCCAGCAACGATTCATTAGCTGCACGACGCGAAAAACATTGCTGAATTTACGAAACACGCGTGGCGGATTTGCCGAACGCGTCCCGTAGCGTTTGCCAGTGACTTCTGCAAGCGCGTCACATTTCTCCGGTGTTCGTTTCGAATGTTCGAAATTACCCATTAGTTGGAACAAAGTGGTTACGTTTCGAGAAAAAGGAACAGCTGCGTTCGGAATTCTCTCGGTTTTACTACGCTTTAAGTCACTCGAAAGGGAGAAAGAGCGTAAAAAGAAGTTCATCTCGCGAGTTTAATCCGGCGCAAATGGGAATATTCGAAATAAATGCATCTTCACCGTTTACGAGCCTACAAATCTCACGGATCTAACAACCTTTCCACCGAAACGCGCTCGTGCCTGAGAGAAAGAAACATCGAACTCGCGTCGTTTCTCTTTTCCTATCTCTTTTACAACGGAACAAAAGCAGCGAGGAGCGTTGTTTTTCCGCCAGGAAATTAATTTACGAGCGTGGGCAAAGCGGATCCGTTTCGAGCGTACGATAGTCTCGGAGGAGAGAGAAACCTCCTACTCTCCGTGCGACGGTAAAGAAATACACCGACACGCTTTCGACGAATTTTAGTGACACGCACGGATAAAGAGATGCTCCGAAAAAGAGTCTCTCTTATCAACGTGACACGAACGAGACACGGCCGTGTGATACTTTTTATTGGCCGGTGGTGGTAAGCCTCGGGAGAAGAAGCGGCTCGACCGAGCCAAAAAGAGAAACGAAAGCGAGAGAAGAAATAAAAAGAGAGAGAGAGAGAGAGGAAAAAGAGGGGACAAAAACGAAGGAACGATCGAATGGAAAAGAGGGCTCTACGCGGCAGTACTTTTCAGCATGTGCTGAGAACGCGGGGACGGTCTTGAATCACGAGGCGCCAGATATCCTGTAATTTGTCTCTCAACGAATCACTTTCGACCACCGACAGCCACGACCATTTTTCTGGAGCGTATGAAGTGTAATATGCGCGACGTGAAGTTCAGACAACGCTGTTCGCGGTCCTCGTGACTCGTTTCTTGGAGTTTGCCTTTTAAAATTCATCGCCGTTGACATTCCCATATTTGTCGTTTCACTGGTAAATTTTGGGATTTGCAAAAACTTCATTTCTTGGGAGAAAAGAAACTTTGTCCATTAATACGAAACCTTTGTGCATTTTAAAGTATCTCTGTGAAACTTAATCGGTTGACTTTATATTAATTGACAAAGTCTCTTCTCTCCTGAAAGACATTGTCAATTAATATGAAATCTCCTTTGCTCCGATTTTATCCACCAACTATACCATTCACATTTACATTTAAAAATTGTTTAATTCCTGGATACAAGTTTAATTTAATTTCGTATTAATTAACAAAACGACTCTCTTCTCTCCCGAAAAATACTCTACGATTTGAATATTTCCTCGCAATATATGTTTCCAAAGCGGCTAAATTAAAACATGACCAAACGTGATAGCTTCTTAATAAGAGAACTTCGGTGTTCGATAATCTCGAATGAAACGAAATGTCCAATATATTCCCCCGAGTAGGTGTATAATTACCAGCTCCAGCCATATTCGTTCAAATGAAAGTCCTTCACGGAATAATTTGATCGTTAATTTCAAAAGCAAACGAGCTTATAAAAGACCCCCGCAAAAATCGATGACGTATCGCGCGTCTCAAAGAAGCTAGTCTTTCGAATCGACATCAAAGGGAGGCGCCTCCGCACTTACACCGTTTTTTCATCCCGTACACGCACTTGGTATGCTTGAACGGCTGCACATTAATTTGATGTACAGGTTTAGCATTGAAGTTCAAGTCAAATTGGACCTGGCCCAAAAACTTGTTCTAACACCGCACTAAATCATGTATAAATGTTCTTTGGGCTATGATACTCTTATCTTACCGTCAAAGATATCAATAGAGAGAACAGGACAGCGCGATCCATCTTGGCTGTGGCGTTCTTCTTCTGCTTCACACTTTACCTTAGCATCTTCCGTCGCCTTTTTCTGTCTTTTTTTCCTTTAATTTTCTTCCCTTAACAAACTTCGAAGCACGTATGAGAATAATTCTTCGTCATTTTTCGTATACTCTGATCGTTTTGCACCACACAGCACGTTTACTCGGCTCGATTCTAGCTTCTCCGACTGTCATCGAGAATCACCATTCCACATTTCACTCGCATAAAACCCTCTTCGTTCCTTCCACAATACGATCGTTCATTCTGACAATTTCGATACTTCTCTCCAAACTTGCCTCTCGATAAAATTAGATAATCAGCGGTTATTGCTAAATTCTCTTTCCTGCTTTCTCTTCAACCTATTGCACAAAGATAATCGTGAAATTAGACATCTTATAGCCGTTCCGTCGCAATGAATTGCAAATTTTTCTCCCCTTGTTTCCTCGACAGAAATACGAAAATCGGGAGAAAAACTCGTAAGATACGAAGCCCAGGAATTTCAGTATATCTCCTTTTCTCTTCTCACGCTAACTTGATGCTTTTTTCCCCATCGAAGGAACTTTACCACCGATTCGCGATACGCCGATATTATTTATTGTTTCTCGGGTTACCTTGTATCCAAGCGACACGCTGGAATTTACCGGCTGATATCTAAATTGTGATCAACGCGATCGCGCTAGCCCCGGATAGAAGGATAGCAGAGATAAGGAAATTATTTACATGTACGCGGGAACGACACGCGGTGTGGCAAGATTAGCAGAGAAAAAAAAAGGGGGAGAGAGAAAAAAGGGACCTGGAGAACACGGCCCTCTAGTTTGCGCGTAATTACACCGGGCAGCCAGATAAATCGACGACCTTTCCCGATTTTTCGTTGCTCCCGTTTTCGTTTCGCGCTCCACGGAGCACACTTTCCACGATGGACGCGCGTGGGACTGGTTTTTGTTCCTCTTGGCAATTGGTTAATGAAACAGGGTGTCGACAAGAATGATCGATACGTTTAACGCAAATTACAAGCCACTTTCAGCGAATCAAGTGTAGATTACGTTCGCTTGTTCGTTAGGTTTCGCAACAGATTCGAAGAGAAAAAAGGGGGAAAAGAATCGCGAAACTGGTGACATATCGTCGCATTTACGGGAATAATTGAACGTCTTGACGCGAACGGTATCCGAGTTTGATGATAATTCAGATTGACGCGTGCTAATGACGCATACGTGTAACACACGCAAACTTTGAAACGGTTCGTCGAGAAAGCGTAATGACGAAGTGTGTTCTCTGTTCACGATCGACGAATATTTTTAGGATCGTTTTCGTGAACGTGGCTGTTTCTGCCGGTTTCGTAGAATGAATGCACCTCGACGAGAAAATATATATTCGACGTTTCGACAATATTTTAATGCCATGCGACGGTGGGTGGGTAGGATCGACAACTATTTTTAAGTCACGTCCCCAATTTCCGGACCGAGTTGCTGCACCGGCGAATTACCGTTTCCCGTTTCTCTCCCGAATTAGTCGATCATTTTTCCTACCGAAACGTGACATTTCCAGACGGGGGTATTAACGAATAAAAAAGTAAAATTTTCGAACGTACCGAATGGGGTCTATAAATTGTTCCTTTTTATTTCAGAATCGCGATTAAATTATCAGAGAATTGAACAGTTTCTTTTTTCGGAGGAATGTTAAGCGAGAAAAAAATGTAGAAGAGTATTCGAGGAATTTACGAGCAACGAAATGTCAGATACAGGTTTTCACGCAGAAATCCAAAGAGAAATCCATCAACTTTCCAAAACCTGTTCCACTTGAAAATATATGTTTTAGTCTGACTAATGTTCTACTTCATTCGTTCTACTGTATTCAATTTGTCAAACGTTCTCCGGTTCCTACCATCGTCTCCTCCTTTTTTTTCTTCAGGTAATTAGAAATGATTAAACTGGGCAGATAGTAAGGTAACGAACCGAAGAAAATGTTCGTCCTCCAGGTTAAAGTATGCCCCGTACAAACGAAAAGTGTGGCTAATTCGAAAGTAAAGGTTGCTCGTTGCTTCAGCCTTACCTTCTTAGCCCGCGACAAGAAATACCGCTGTTTAAAACGATCGAACGAAGAAAAAAAAAAAAAATTGCAAATTTTTAACCGTCCTAGAGATTGCTTCGTGGAATCTCAAGTATGTGTTCCAGAGTAGAAGAAGAAGAAGAGAGAGAAAAAAAAGTAAGAAAAATAAATCGAACGAAACGTTAAATTCCAATAAATTCCCATTCACCGGCATATTCCATTCCATTCACCCGTACCTTCGATATTTCTCCGCCACTTAAAAACACGAATACGTCTGATAAATGTCTCACTTATAATCAAACATCTTTACACACGATCCACGCCCATAGTTCGAATAATACCGCACCGATGGCCAGTTTCGATTCGACGGCTCGATCAAGATATTTTGCATCGTGAGAAACGAGTTATGATGCGACACGAAGGAAATTGGATATTAGAGAAGCCATCAGGCCCGTGTACGTATACACACGCACATAATGCTTTCATGCTCCAGTTGTTAGTGAGCGTTAGACGGGGAATCGATATTAGTCGTGCGTCGACCTGTCGAACGTAATCGCTCCTACGTAGAAATTATTTGCTGAATGGGCGAGCGTGCCCCGTTGCCGCGCCGCGGAAAATGTGTTCTCCATTTTTTTTCTCTCTCCCTTTCTTTTCGCGGGACACACAGGTACATTCCGTTCGGCCTTCTTTCGTTATACGAATACGAGAACGGTTTGGAGGAAGGAAAAATAAATTGCGAACCGCGTGTGTTTGCGGCCGGCTCGAGGAGATTTTTCACGGTTGGCGCCACTTCGATGGTTCCACTAGATCGATCTCAATTACCAACACACTTACATTATCTCAGCCTCCAATCTATTGTTTATCCGCCGCGTTTACCGCGGCGCGTTGTCGCTTAGAGCGGATAAATTATGGGTCCGGTTGAAAGCAAAGGGATTAGTTTATGTTTATTTTGTGGAATTGAAATGGCGCGGAATGCGGGACCCGTGGTGTGTACGCAACTGCAGGAATTTATGAAGCAAGCGGCAAATAAGAAGACGGAATTATTGCTGGTGTAATTACGCACAATCGTTCGATACGTTCAAATTGCTCCGCGTTTCTTTTTTCTTTGCCGCCCGATCAGCTGATGAAAAATTCGCGAAACGTTTCGCGTTGGTTATTTGTAACACCGGATGTTTGTATCGTGAATAGCGGCTGAATGGGTTATTAGATATCGAAAAGTCGACGAGAAAGATTAAATCTACAGGGAAACGTATAGTTTCTGTAAATAATTCATAGAACGTTTTCTGCACGGATAGAAGTGTACACCTGAGGTTCCGACCGTTTTCGTTTTCGTTCCTACTTTCTCATTCATCGAATTAATTCGTAGTTACGCAGTGTCCGTGAGTGTCCACTCTAAAATCGTTCATTCATGGCGTACTGGATACTGTGTTGGAAATATCGATGGAAAATGCGGTACAATAAAATGTAACAGAAATGCGAGAACAGAGTGTAATAGGGAAATTTACACGAGAAATGATATTTTCGAATCTATCGATAAATATTCATCGAGGTACTTTAGTTTCTTTTTTTCTTTTTTAGCTAGATTATTAGTAGATATGCATTTGAAACATTGTGCGTGTATGTGTGTGTGTGTAATGTCCGTATGGAGTATTCGTTCGATTGGAGGACACGCTTTGTAATTAAATTATTGCAGGATTATTTATCGGTTTAAGTGGCAACGTGCGTGTTTATTAATTACAGGTTATTGCAGATTAAATATTGCACGTTAAGTGCTCGGTAAGTGAACGATAAGTAGCTTTACTACGCGGATGAATATGAATTATGCGTTATGCATTCGGTAGCTGTCGGTGTATGTCGCTCGAAAGCAATGGCGCCATAGAATACTGTAATGACGCAATATTTCAGTATACGAACCGTGTATCGATTAATCGGTGTCGTAAAGCCAAGACAAAGTAGCATGTAAGTTAACCTTCTAACCTTAAAACCAATTCTTTTTTACACAGGATTTCAAGCTATCGGGGAAATTCGCGATTTCTTCACGTTTCTTGCTCTATTTTTTCAAACTATCGCTGGAGATTCGGCAAAGATAGAGATTCCAAAGTATCGCTAAAAAATTCGTGATTTTTTAATATGTTTTTATTTTATTTTTCTAAATTACTTAAGAAATTTGAGATTTCTTTGTGTTTTTTATTCTACTCTCCAAATTATCGCTAGAAGTTCCATAAAGAAGAGAATTCCAAAGTGTCACGAAGAAATTCGTAATTTCTTTATATTTTTTACTTTATTTTTCCACACTGTCCAAGAAATTTCTGATTTCTTTACATTTTTTACTCTATTCTCCAAGCTGTCGCTAGAAATTCGACAAAGAAAGAAATTCCAGAGGGGCGACACGAAGAAATTCGTGATTTCTCGTTTTATTTTTTATCTCATTCTTGATTTATCGCGCGTACTCCAAGTACCGCAACGTTCAATTATGCAACGTTCATTAATAAGAGATTTACGCTGCGATCGCTGGACAATTCGGTCGGGCAGCCTCATTGAGGTGATCGTTCCTCACCGAACATTTCTACTGCTCGTTACCCTGTCTATTTTTTCACGAACGGTGTTTATGGAAATCGTGTTACTTTATTGCAGCGAAAACACGTCGGAAAGAATGGAACCATTCCGAGGGATCTACTTACGCAAGTGCCGATGTAACGCGGGCCACCGTTTATTTTTATGATTATCGACCCGCTGAGATCGCGAACTATTAATACACGTTTGTGGAAAAACCGATCGGCGAGAAAACGATTTTCTGCCGAGCTGAATGTACGAGAGATACTTGTTGAACGGATACAAACTTCTCTTCGTGACACTTTACGATCCTGTTCTTATATTATCGCGACGATATAATAATGAGAATTGTACAACAAATTGGCAACGACAGTCTGAGTTTAATGACAAGTTTGAAATATTACCATCTAAATTTCATTTCGCTGTTATTCTGACGAAAAGGCATCACTGAAATTCCTCTGTTCTCGTACGAAACACTTCTCGTACTTCGTTTTTACGTTAAAATTACTAAAGTTTAGGGACGAATTTGACAAGAGTTACGTTAGTTACTCCAGCGAATGGTTAAAATGGTGATAGAGTGTTAGTAATGACATTTCACCGTGTTAAACGTAACGCTTCCTAGAACGTGAGAATGAAATTCGCGTGTTAACAGGGGCACAAAGTCAAGGCCGTTTGCATTCGTCCACGAAAATAGCAATGGGAAGCCGTCAAAGGGGTCGTAAATTTAGATTTGTGTGGCACAAAGTGCTTTAAGCTGTTCCGCGTGTGTCGCGATAGAAAAAAAGAAGAATCTCTCCGGCGGTGCGAAGACAAGGAAAGACGGGAGAAAAAGAAGAAGAAAAAATTATAGCCGTCTGGCAGAGCGAAGAGAGGTTCACGTCATACTTTGGCGGTCGCAGAATTCTCTGTCACACGTTCCAAGTCTGGCACGATTTTCAAAAGCATCCGGACTCTTTAATGGCCCTCCCGCCGCCGACACGTTCTTTAACGTATCTTAATCTCGTTCGTTCAATTTGTCAACGTGTTCCTGTCGACAATGAAATACGCCCGCTCGACGATGAAAAATATCAAATACAACTGGTTGGGAATGTTCAAATATCGTCGAACGTATAAAAGCAGTCCGGTATGGATTTGATCGAACGGCCAGTTGGCTAGTCGACGTTTAAAAAGAAAAAAAAAAACGAATCGTGTCGAGCTTGTCCCAACATAGAATCTGGTACAACTATCTGCTATCGAAGCCACGACCCCGATGTAAAAAAAGACTAAAGACACGGGATCAATTTGTCAGGTCGATCCTGAACATTCCGATCGAAAAAAAGCTTGAACTTCGGACAAGATCAAGATCTATCGACGATCGTTCAAACTAGAAAGCAGAAACTCGGATAAACTTGAAAGCAACCGTAGAATAAACGTAAAATTCGATCGCAAAGCAAACGACTGCAAATAAAGAAGATCGTTATCACTCAATCACAAAGTATCACCTGTAACCAATTATTTCTCAATCATCGAACAAACATGTGAATTCTAAGAGATCGAACATGAACATTCTCTACAATTCTCGAACTGTTCTGTTTTTTTTTTTTTTGTAACAAACACAATTTAATCCTGACTCATTGTTGTTTCATTGAAATGGGGACACTGTCGAATAGCAGCTTCCTCCGAATAGTTCACGAAAATATCAACCAAGTCCATACGTGTTCACGTTCTACACTCGATCGGTTTCTCGATCTTCGATGAAATGAGAAGCTGTAGCCACGGTAGCGTGCCGCATGTTACAGAATACCGAGAGACGAGTTCCTCTGTCGTGCTTTACAGAGGTGTCGTGCCGAACTGACGGCTCCCGTCGGTGGAGGATCGACTTTATACAGCGGTGTCTCGCGCTGCTCTATGAACGCAGCTTTAGGGGCCTCCACCTTCGTTTGTCACCTGACCGTGCCACGCTTCCGATCAACATCTCCTCCCTTCCGATTCCGTCTCTCCTCGGTTTTCCCTCTTCGCTCAGAATTTCTCAGGCGATTTTTCCCTAGAATTCGCGCCTCGTTCGGGGAAACTGCAAGAAACGGGCCAAGACCGCACGGAAATCGGCGAATTATTAAGAGGAATGGAATTTTGAGAGCTTGACTCATGGAGTTTTTTAGAAGCGTATAATGTAAGGATGCTCGGGCAATCGAGAACGGAGGCTTTTAGCCTGAACGATTTCGGCTAAGGTTCTTTTTACGTGAATCATAAGTTATGCTTGTACTTTTTGTGTTTCAGATAACGAATCTGCGATACTTCGTATCGAGAAATTTGTTACTTTAAATGGATAGTAGGGTGGAACGAGAAATTTGCGATACTAAGTGCAAACGTTGAACGGTCGGTTCTTTTCGATGGCAAAATGCAAAAGGGGGAAGAGAGTGTACGGTGTACCCTTTCGTGTATTCTCTTTCTTGATAATGGATTTTCAACGCCGACGACGCGACTCGATGCAGCTCGTCGGGAGTAAAAGTAGCAGAGAATTAAGTGGTTCTTATAATGGTTGTTTATCGCGAAAGAAGCTTACGTGGACGTATAGCCAGTCTAACACTCTTGTTTATACCGTTGTGGCACGGTCGTTTTTTCTTTGTAAACTCTCCTGGCTAGGTGGCACCCAGAGGGTTAACTAATTTTAGTCCCCGTAATCCAGAACCCGCTAAAACGCGTGCATCAGTGAAACCAAATACCGAAAGATCCTCCACATCACCGCTGGCAATTCTCGAACTTCAAACTTTACTTTATCGGCTTATTTGCATTCGAGGCAAAATACACTCGTTCCGAGATCATTTATTTGCATACCGATTATCCAACCGATCAGAAGTGATCAGTCTTGGGGTTTTGTTTGACGTTTGACGGAAAAGTCTGTCGGGAGAAATTAACGTCCCTTTGGAATTATTATATTGTCAATGAAAATAAATCGCGTTTCGAATTAAACACGGAGACCTTGTTCCTTTGTTTCAACGTTCCGATAGAAATATCCTTCCAATCGGTTCAAACTTTATCAAATACGATTCTTGTGAATTGCACTTTTTAAAATATATATTTCGACCTTTCTCAAACTGTGAATTTGCGAACAAATTACGTTTTTAATTTTGTAAATTTACGTTACTTCGCAGTAATAAGATACTTTTGTCGAGTTTGGTCGATTTTTAATCAGCGAAATTGTTTGTTTCGGCGACGGCGAAAATCGATCCTGGAAATACCGTTCGGTAATATCGGAAACCGATGCGACCGCGTCTAGTTCTAATGCCGGACAGGATCGAGCGAAACGGAGAAGCGACGATTCGACGATGCAACGTGGTTAGTCGCCACGTTCCCTGGAGGAAAAAGGGAACATACCGAGCAACCGGTCGTAAGAAAAGATCGCGACGATACGAAACGTGGATATAACGCGTAATCGTAGTTATGGACGCATCCTGAATAATGTTAAATATTTACATAATCATCCGGATCGGTATCATCCCTTCGAACTGTGTTTCGCGATCTTGCCTATAGCGCGTTTCATCGATTCGATAGTTTACTGGGAAAACAGCCAAGTTGCATCTTGTTTAAATTCTTTTCAACTTCGTTTCTGTTGTTCGAAAAAGCGACAGAGGACGTAAAATGTGGACATGGTAAAATTACTTTGATATCCGACGAATGTTACTTCTCTTCTTTTTAAGATTTTATCTTCAGCTGTTTCAATTTTTCCAATTGGACTTGAATATTATTTCAAGATTAATGCTTTAGATTATATTAAAAGAAATAGTAAATATTCTTTTTATTAGTGTCTAACAATCTACTCTAATTGTAATTAATTTTATTAATATTTATTATTTCTATTCGTCAAATACTTATGTTAGCGATGAATAATATCTGAAACGAATTTATCATTGCCAAGTTTCATCGAAGAAGAGAAGCAGAAGTATTTCCATGCTGTGACAAATCCAAAAGAGAAAAACGAAGCGAAGAATATGAATTTATCCTCTTGACTTGGAGAATGAACTAAAAATACTCTCCTTTGTTTCTTCTCATTATGCTAATGAATATCCTCATCAGAGACAATATTTGCCACGCGAACGATACTTTTCACAGCGTCATGTACGTAACGCGATATTAATCTGGAATCCGATACTAATATTTCACACTACTTAAACACACATACGCACATTAGAATCGCGTTTCTCTGCATTGTGATACTAATACCGTTGCAATAAGGGTAGCGTTATAATAGCGAGAACAATCACCGGCATTCTCTCTCTCTCTCTCGAATGCAAATTCTCAATTGCATAATCTCCGGAAAATTTTACTCGCACCGCAAATACACTTTGCAACAATGTTTTTGCTCGAATCGACGTACGATCCAGACCTCCAACGTTCTGTTCCTCTTCGATTATTTATTACCTAATCGAGCCCGCTATGCTGAAATATATCATCACGAGTGTTTGTACCGTATTTCGAGTGGCCGTCGTGGATTTATTATCCCCGTACAATGTTTTCGTTGAGCGCTTTATATTAGCATTTTTGCGGTGCGCCGTTTCCGTCGAGCATCGTTGAAACGACGCATGAATAAGACCAAACACTTGGCGAGACAATGTTACAGCCATAACAAAAGTAAATTTCAATATCACGATTACAGAATTAATCGAACTAATTGGAGAGTATAAAAAGTAGCATTACTTGAAGAATGAAATAAGGTTCTTGTGCCTCTGTTCGAAACGACCAATAATCACAGATCGAGCTGACCGGTGTTCACCTAATTACTCCCTAATTCACATGTGAAATTACGATCCATGGATCAACAGAGAGCCTCTCTTTATTACATGCCTGTTGGAAGTTTCTCCAGTGGATAGCTAGTAATCAGGTAGACTGGTAGCCTATCGATCTAATTCGCTCTAATTCGATAAAATTCGCAGGGCAAAATCCACGCGACCGGATTTCGACCTGTTCCAAGCGAGACAGAGATCGGTCGACGCGTGGTCAGATCGAGGGATCCGGTAATTAGCGATTTCTCTGTGGTGCCGATCTAATTTTCCACCGGGCAAATTATCGAGTGGCGCGTAGATAGAATTAGCCGCGTCGGCCTGGCTGATATCACTAAATTGCTGCATTCCTACGAGACGTCCGGAGTGCATCTCCCTCGTTATATCATCATCGTTCATCAGCCTCTGGTCTACGCGGCGCGTCGTATAAATATATCGCGTTTGGATCATCCTCTTGATCGCGAACCCGCTCGAGCGCGTGCGCCCGCTAACGCATGCGTGTTTCGTGAACGAATAGGTGAACTTTAGCTGGTTTGAATGGCAATTAGATTGGAGTTTATTCTGTGAGATTGAGTGAATTGTGATTGAAAGTAGGCGATGGTGGGGAAGTTTGGCGATTTTCAATTTGAGACCTTAGAAGAGATCTTCAATTTGAGATCTTCATGAGCTTAGAAGGCGCATCGTATCGTCTGTTACAGATTTGGAAAGAATTTCGTCGAGTTAAGTTTGCCAGTGACTTAGATTTACTTCATTCCCACAACGATCCCAAAGAGCAGTTACGCGCTCAGAAGCTACAGATCTGTAAAGAATTTTGTACGTTTTAAGTGAGGGTTTGGTTTGTCAGTAACGTTGATTTATCTGATTTTAATAACGATCGAGAATCATTTTTTAACAATTTTTCACGTCTGGTCATTTTGCCGGGAAACTTTTTCGAGCTCGTTAGACGCCGTTAATCTAGAAAATACGATACGAAGGGAAGAGACGCGTAATGAGGAGCTGAAGAAAGGGTAAAATGTAGAGAATTAAACAAAAACAGAAGCAATAACAGAAGAGTGATGTAGCAAAAGAAGGTACATGTGTTATGAATAATGATCAGAAAGAAATTTAGCTGGTATGTGTTGAAGAGGTTCGAAACGATGGCAAGAAACGAATCTTAAGGAGAAGAAAATTAAAGGAATAGGCGGAGCAATAAGAAAATCAGATGAGATGCATCCGATGGAAATTCACCTTGATGACATTAGCGATTAACGCGATTCGCGTGGCAAATCGTGTGACTACAAACACATTTTCTGTGGAAAGAGATTTATACGTCGAATAATCAAGAATGAAATCTTTATTTTTACTCTCGATAAACATTCGGTCAGAATTTAATACACGATTCTAATAACGATCGTTGCACTTGTTATGTAAAATAAACCTAAGTGTTATTAATGAAAATCACAGACATATTCTGTGCATCGATCCTACACCTGGAAACGACGAAACAAACGATACTAAAATACACTTGATATTTATGCGTTATGCGTTTTACACATTGGGATATTTCTTCGAGCTGACTGCACACAGAAAATGAACGAATCGAGTAATCATTGGGTTTACGTAGTGTTAAAAAGTAGATCGCTCGTTCAATTCTCCCTGTACGACAGAATATTAGGTAACGTAAGATTCGTTTAATTAGATTTTAATTGTGTTCTATTTATTGGGACGTTTTAATAGTCGTCTTAAACGTTCCTGCTACATGTGCACGTGGGCAATAAATGTTTATGGGAATCGGAATACTTCGTCTGCTACCTTTTTTTTCTTAATAGTAGCTGTGAAACTTAACGATTTCTTCCAGTGGATCGTTTAGTGGTAATACATTTATGGGACAATTATAGAATAGTATCAACAGGATCTGAGGAGTTTATAAAAAACTCAACGAGAAGAAGAAACGAGTATTTAAAAGAAAAAGTTTCAAAGGTGAGCTAGAAAATTTAAAAAACAGCAGTTTAAAGGGAACACTATTTTACAAAATTACAATATTTCACTTTTCGCGCTTTCAACGTTCATTTTTTTGGGAAATGCACGTAATTATTATCAATGCAGTGGAAAATATTTGACAGCACCAAGTTCTTATTTTATATTAATCGCAATTTCTATCTTTGTCAACTGAACTCTAGGATATTTTTAAAACAGCCCCGAGTTTTTGCCGCTCGGAAATAATTGCTAAACCGCGTTAAAGCAAGTGGATACAATTATACAAACCAACAGCTACCTGCTTTTTTGTCATCTCCGCTGGCAGTGTCATTGACTCGATGACACGATCCATTTGGATCATTAACGTTGCGTCATAATTGTTCCACCGAAGCGAGAACGATCGATTGATTTACACGTTGAATAACGAACGAAACACGGTAGCTAGCTGAATTTTACACCGACGACGAAATATTCATACCATTCTTACCGTCGTTGTATTGAAAATACTCCTACTAATTAAACATCTCCACGTTACGCCGATTAAAAACTCGATAATGTTTCTCCGCGCGGAATTACGCCTCGCGACGGCAGAATGTGTTAGATTATCCCGAGCCCAGCGTGACGCTAAGTATGCAAATATTAATAGACGGAGCTCCTTTCGCTAATAAATTTTTAATTAATTAACGTCGCCACTTTGACATCAAATTAGCCTTACAAAGCGGACGGAAAACGTTCGATAATGTTTCTTAGCCAAGTCGAACGTTCGAATAATTAACATTTCCAACGTATCGTCACTGTTTGCACAGAGAAATTCTTCAGGTTCGCGTATCAATGGCCGCTCAGCTAATCGTTCCTTATCGTACGTTTATAATTTATTAAGTTGTAAATTAGTCGTCCAGCGACACTGGCCCCATTAATACTACAAGCTGTTCGCCGTCGTCCCTTTTTTTCCCTTTTTTTTCTTTTAAACAAGATCAACTACACGTATGTATGTACATAAAGAAGAAAAGGCACGCAAGAAGAATTCTCGCGGAAACTTTTATCATACGAGCCGATTTTTCGCTACTTGCGTTTTACTGCCGCGCAATAATGATTACGTTTGTTCTTCCATGAAAAGGGGGGAAGCGATGCGTGCGCGCCATCATCAGCTCGCTGTATAACGTTGTACGATCCTTTTTAATCGTGGCCACCGTTTATAAGGTAGTCTCGAAGAGAGGCGAGCGCGCAACCGTTTCGATTTTAATATTACCAGCTTGAATTTCTGGGATGACTCCGGTGGATTGACGTTAACTGCAACCGTTCACGTATCATTCAGCAGCCGAGATTGCAGTAATTGCTCGCAATTTACCTTGCGGATCGCAATAAATAGTTCCTTTGTAAGCGAAGCGGTGCAACTTTTATCTCGCGGGTATCACGCTTAGGAATATCTTGACGTGATGCAGCAGCATCGCGGTTTGCTCCAATTTTTCGCTAGATTCGCTGACTGTTATTTATTAACGCATGGGAATAAACGGGCAATTCATACGCGTTAATAACATCACCGGGGCATAATTCATCGGTAAAATCTGCTCTAAGATACGCTCGATCGCTGTGCTACGAGGTTTAATATTAGGCGATGACCTAAACATCTAAGGTATTTTCAATGCGACATGTTCGTTCTACGTGGAACTACGTAGCTTTTCTGTAACGAAATTTTTCTCGGGCTGCCGAGACAACAGTTTGCAAATGATTTCGAAGAATTTTCTTCTTATCGTCTGTGTAACACGATAAGGTAACGCTGATTGGTGTATTCGAAGCAAGAGGCAAAGGTAAAAATACGTAGAAATTGCTATGTTCGAAAATAGTGATGTCATGGTAAATACTGGTATCGGTAATATTCTACTTGAGGTAAGTACTGTTATTAAAGAGGTTTCGATGTTCACTTTGCCGCGATATTACTTAGAAGAAAATAGAACAGATACCTATTTTAGGTAACTAGACTTACATCGCTACCATGTCATTTCGAATCTTAATGGCCGATAATGATTTAGATTCCCTGGAACATTTTAATACCGCTACGAAGCCCTGCAGTCCCCCTAACGCAACTCCGCTGGACTGGGAGCTAAAATCTAAACATTTCATACGTTGATCTACAACGTGAGAACAGTTTCACTGTGTAATCAAAACATTTGCGTTGAACCATTAATTGGTCCTTTCGTTCTTTCCCAACTTTAAACATACGATCTTTATTTTCACAGAAAACATTTCCAATAATTTCGCATCATATTGCAAAGTGTTGCACCTGAAATTTGAAGAATCTGAAAAGTCTCAAGGATTACTGAAACTTTAACTTTTCCAATTATCTCGTAGAAACTATCGTTTCGTGTGTTACAAAATATTGCATCTGAAATCTGAAAAATCTCAAGAATTATCGTAGTTGTATCCACATGTTTACGAACGCGATAAGTATAAAATCAATCATTCTCGAAGTGTACGCTTCCAATTTAACGACTTTTCCATCAACTTCGCTCAAGTTAAATTCTCGAAATATTTCACGTGTTTCATTGTTTTCTGAATTATCGAAACTAAAAGTCGCGTAAAAGTACCTGAATAAATGAGCGTCCGCGGTCGAAGTAACGTTCGTACGGGGAAACCAGGACGTGGCTTTTCATCGATGTGAAAAGATTGACCTGTGACCCGGGCCTATAGGGTTGCGTCACATCGTAGATCTTAAGCAGAAATTGCGACTACGATCGATCGTATGAAAATTCCTCGAGGCGCTTTCACGTTGAAACCGCATTTTAGCGAATACACGAATACCTTGGCCGAACGCTGGGCATGTGCCACTTTTGTGACGTCGACGCCAAGAGCGCCATTTAGCGTCATTAATAGAGTTGCATCAGCGTCGAGTGCACGGTGATACATCGATAGGAGTGGTTCGGCAAATAGATCGGGGCTGAAGATATATACGTAGGCAAGGGAGAGAGAAATGAACACACCCATCTAAGCTTCGACGTTTCTGCACAACCGTTCGCTGTCTATAGGGTGATCCGTGCGAATCTTTTCTAGGAGATTCATCGTCTGTCCGTTGTGACACCATTTTTCGGTTCTGGTGACCGTCGAGTAGATGAATTTTTCAAGAAATTGTTGCGAAAGACATCACAGATGAGTGAATAATTTTGATAGTGAATGGTAAAATCATGGGTTGTCTTGTTTGTTGGGTCTGTTGATCGTTGAAGAAATGTTGAAGAATAAGTGACTTTGATAACGAATAGTATTGTCAAGAATTTGGGAAAAAATATTTCCTCCCCTCTTTCGTTCTGTTAATCGTTGAATAAATGAATGTTCGAAGAAAGGAGAGCAAACGATAGATATATGATAAATAATTCTGACAACGAATGATAACATAACGAGTGCAAATGTTTTTACAATGAACAGTAAAGTAACGCGATATCGCAATTAATTTTTAAATGTACATTTTATCTTTGTTCAATGTATTTGATAAGCGACAGCGAGTTATACTATATGTTTGTAATAAAGTAGATTACCATGCTGAATTTTGCCTCATGTTTAGTATAATTTCTAATCGAATTTTGCAAGTCAAAGTATTGCGTTCAGTGGACTATGAAAAAAATATAATATATATTGCTCTTTAAATTGCACATAAATTATACGCTTGATAAATTAGTATTCGCGCGCGTGTTCTAAGAATTTCAAATGTATCGAGGCGGTATTCTTTTCGAAACGCTGTTTTCTATGCCTCGAGAATTCTAAATCAATCAGTTCGCTAATCCAGACTTTTCTTGATACCTAAAAGTCGCTCTAGGATACAATTTTATTCCCTCTTCCAAATCACCACACTTCCGAGGAAAATCGATTACCTTTCTAAAATCCTGTCGTACCTGACGCATTTTCAAACTGAATCGCAACATTTCCTCGAAATACCCGGTTCTTTTTCCACAGTTGAAAAATGTCCAAATGAACGTTCCACTTTTCCACGAATTTCGAAACTACCTGTATGAATTTTGTGCCAAGAGAATCGTAGCACGTAACCAGTCCATCTTACCAAACGTTTACCAACGGCAAGTATGAATCAATCTGTACGAGACATCACGGAAGGTGAAGCGACAGAGCCAGAAAATCGAGGAACGATCGACGCATAGTGTAAACTGTTTATCGTAACTCGGAGCCGAGCCAGCCTCGGGACAGCGCTAAAGGGGGAAAAGAAGGGAAGAAGAAAAAAGGAACGGCGGACATTAAGTAAAAACGAAAGCACGCGGTGAAAGCAAATTCACAGGACCATGTAAAGTACACGGCTGATAATTACGTGGCTGAGTTGTAAAACGTTAATAGCGGGGGAAAAATGAGATATCGCGCGCGCGGTATCGAGAGGCAAGATAGAAACAGAGATCGCGGCGTCGGGCAATTTTCTCGGGTAATTCAGACAAGGCGCGCGGCGGCGGGCCGCGATTGTTTGTTTATTAACAGCTTGCAGCGAGGGTTTTATTGTGTTGGTTTAATAATACCTCCCGATACGCCACTTAGGAGAAAATGAGACAATTGTTTCTTCATCCCGGTAGGCGAATGCATCACCGATCGATCATGCTTCCTAGGCGGCTACCGATGTGTGCACGCAACGCATGGTACAGTTGATAATAACGGAAAATGATAGAAAATGAGCGCGGAGGGATTAATAACGCGATAATTTTTCGAATTTGTCTGCGTTAGCGCGAGAATTTTTATGAGATTCGAGCAACTGCCAATGATAAGAATTATTGTGAGAAATAGTGTTAAAGATATTTCTACAATAGTCTTGTGTGGTCATTTTTTAAAAGAAATCACGAGAATGAAGTGATACTTGGTGAAAATATTAAATCATTAATGGAAAAATGATAGAAAATAAGCGTGGAAGAATGAGTAACGCGATAATTGATATTTCAGTGATTCGAGCTGTGGTCATTTTTTAAAAGAAATCACGAGAATGAAGTGATACTTGGTGAAAATATTAAATCATTAATGGGAAAATGATAGAAAATAAGCGTGGAAGAATGAGTAACGCGATAATTGATATTTCAGTGATTCGAGGAACCGCGACTGATAAGAATCATTGTGAGAATCATAATTTTAAAACGAAATTTCAAAAATTGAGTTTTGCTTGATAAGAGTCGTCTCAAGATTAAGAAATTTACCACGGCTACCGTGACACGCGATTTTTCCAACTGATCGATGCTAACGTCAGATATTTTTAATTTACGATTGTTCATTCTCAACGTTGAAATTTAGATACGTGACCGATAAAAGGATCGATCCTTGAATCTCGATCAGCTACGACAGCTTCTGCGTTGCGTTTTCTACTTCCAACCTCCACTTGTGACAACTATTTGTCTTCATTTGTACCACGCTGCTCATTGATCATGGCAGAATAAGGTCTCCTTAGTATAAATTCCACCAACTCGGTGGTACAAAAGGCGCTCTAAATGGAACACTGATTAATCCCATTAGGTATTGTAGATCCGAGGAAACCTCTGTGAAAGGAGCAGAGAGAGAGAGAAAAGAAAAGAAAAGAAATTTGTTTATTCTTTTAAGAAACAACGTAGAACGCAACATTGCGTATGCACGTTACCTTGAATTCGGATTTAATTAAACGGGAGGAAATTCAAGCTGATTAAAATAATCGTAGTTTTCTGAATAGGTAAATCTTGAGATTCTTCGATTTATCTGTCTCGTGACTTTCAATGATTTCTTCATCATCGGGCCACTTAAGAAAGGTATCCCCTATCACAATGAAACAGCCGGAACATCGTTGAAGCTTATTTTCAGAAATTACAGCCGACGATAATTTTACGTGAACAGCCGATAAAGTTAATGTGGCGCCGTGTCTTCGATCCTTTGAACACGGCTGCGTAACCTGTTCTGGAATCGTTAGATTCAATCTAGACATACCGTGATCCCGGTACTGAAACAGAAGGTATCGATTCCCGATGGAAACTTAAGCACGTACTACCTAGGATAGTTTCACATTCAATGCATCCCCCGATATTTAATAACTTCATTTTCCACTCGGGTGATTCATGCAACGTCTATTATTCTTTCGTGCAACGAGAACTAAATTGTTCGTCGATATTAATATTTCCTTTATTTTCCTTCCGGTATTCAAATTTATATCGTTCATTTTCATTCTGACAGGAAATCAGATTTCCTTTGTACCTTCAAACAGTATCTTAAAAGTAGAGTTATTCATTCAAAACTACTTCGTTTATTTTTGTAATAATTTTGTAAAAATTTGTCATGAAAATTCATCATAATTTTGAGCAGTAAAGTTAACTTCGTCAATTTTCCCACGAATCATCCTTAAACCATCAATGTTCCATCTACCTATCAATATACTCCTTCAAAACTCGTCAGAATTATTTCACAGCAAAAAAAAATATTTGCTACTTCTCTAAATGTTCAATAAAATATCGTAAAATTTTGAAGAAGATCTATTCAACCGTTTCTCGAGAAAAAATTCGCAAAGATCCCTTTACTTTCAGCGAGTTACGCGATTCTCCCTTTCAAACATCGTATCTCCAACTGCAACTCGCCTCGGTATTAATCTCCAGTGCTCAAGCCTCCTTCCAATCCAACCGAAGCTCGTTCTTACCTCCGTATAAGTTTCCATTCGCACAAACATCGTGAACCCAGATTTTAACGACAGAAGCAGCATTTTTCTCGGGCCACATCGATCGACCGTGTCCATTTTCCATGATTGTCCTAATTTATTGCCCGATTCGACGTTATCGGAGCGTGGCTTATGGAGAACGCCACAGTAAGCACCACGACGTTGATGGACTTAATCCGTCGCGTTCGAAGGAAAATCAATTCACCGTTCTCCGGATCGTTTCACGGGCCTGTTAACCGTTTCCTAGTCGATCGAATATACGATTTCCTCTTCTCGTCCCTGTGCTCGAGAAAACGAACGGCCCGTTTTATCGATATACACACAACCACCACCGTCATGTGCCCCTTTGCCACGGAGTTTTGCAAGAATCCGCAATCTCGACCGTACATTGTATCTCGAAAAGCGATACAGTCGTATATAGTTCGGAGTTTATTGCACCGGTAACAGATGGAGTACACGGATATCTCACAGCTCTCCACGACGACGACGTCGCGAATTTGCAAATTATAAAGGGCGATAAGGCACACCACGGTTAGATAGAGCGCTGCTCTGATTGTATTCAAAATCGCATTGTGCTACGCGAAGATTAATGTTATCGATAGTTTATGGATATCTGTTACGTGGTACATGTGTATGAGCTAAGTACGTTTCTGGTACATAGATCCGAAGGAGGCAGTAGATACATCTTCCTGCTTCGGGAAATGTATGCTCGTGTGTTAAATAGGGGTGTTTATCTACCGTGAGATAGACCAATGCAGTATGCTTCGGTTCTTGGAACCTAACTTCGCGATGATCATCGTATGCAAATTTTACTCTCTAGCCTGTTGGAAATCGGAAACCTAGAAGGTTACGGCGTTTTATTTCAATTTCCGACGCAGAAAATGTTTTGTACAATTTGCCTCAACATATTGCAGCGCTATATTGAAATTTTTGATATAAAAGATATTTAGTAAAATTTGTCACAAAAATTGTGGCGTTTCGTTCAATTTTTCCTGGAGAAAATTAACGGAGATTACAATGATTTAATATAAATATATAGAAATTTTAATAACATAAATTTACTAAATGCAAATTTTGTAATATAAATGTGCTTCTTTTCAACAGAAAGAAATTTTAATCGTGCTTGATTTCATTTCATTATTTCATACTAATTACCTCCGTCTCGCACTGTGACCTATTTCACATCTCAACGGCGTCATCCGACCAATCTCATACCACATTTTACTGCAAGTAACGTTTAGAAGTGCAGGTACTTTAATGAGAAAATCGTGATCCGGTGAATAAGAGGACGTGTTACCGCGTGACCGCGTGATTATTCATTAAACGTTGGCCGCAACAATCACGTTACCTGCCGCTTTTGTTTTCGAATAGTGAGAAACGATGGTTAATCGTTCGATGCCAATTTCGGCGAACCGCGAAGCACTAAATTCGCCTGGGTAAACCACGCGTGTACACACACGCTCTGTGTGTTGTACTCGAACGTTATCGTCCAAGTATTGTAACTTTTATGTAACTTCACCACATATGCAACAGCAGCAGCCAGCAGCAGCAGCAACACCTTGAATACAGCCTTGGACGTTCGATCATTTTACTTTGTGCAAACCGCGTGTTTATTCGCTTGCCTGTACTACTTGATATTTTATAGTCGCTCACCGGTCGTCGAATGGGCGAACCGTAGATAATATGAATTTATAAGACCGCGAGAAATTCTATGCATGCCCTCGAACAGAGGTCTATCAGGCGCTGCGGGAAATCGAGATTAATACAATGTTCCCTTAAGTTGTTTCGTGTGTTTCGTTTCTGTTCTACCGCGTGCTTCGCGACGATTGTATTACTACGGTGGAGATAGTAAATGGTACAAGATTGCATTCTGATTATGCATAAGAATTCCGAGAAACCTCTCTTAGACGTTCTTTTTTTGTCTTTTTGGTCCATTTCTATGAATCACTTGGTAGCATTTCGACGTGAGATCAGCTGCTGCCCTTTGTGCGAATTCTCTTGCAAACGAGGTTTTGTTCGCCAACGATAACAAAAGATTTAACGAATATAGGTGTAAAGGAGCGTGATGCAAATGGTAAACGAAGTGTGCGGCGTTTGTAGCAATTGAACGTGCGAATAAAACAGTACGATAATTTGCGATCGAATGGAGGATCGATTAAAAAATTCCACTTTTGACGTGATGGTCTAATATAAAGACGAAATGGAATACTATTTTAACCCTTTTAATCGGAGAATCTTTCACCGTTCGATATGGAAAATTTCGAACCGTTGTGAAAATTTCATTTAAATATCTGAAAAATGTTTTTTAATATATCGTACGTGTAAATTTTCATTTAGAACACGTGAAACATTCGTCGCCGCAATCAGTGCAGTCTCGAAGCTCGATTTCTGATCCTTTTAGAATTCACAGCTGTCGAATGTATCGAGTATCGAGAACAGTATCGTTTACGTTGCCCTAAATATTTAATCGGATAAGAATTGTTTCTAATCTGCGTATTACTTCTGAAGCCATTCTATGTTAAGGTCATCGGTCGCACACAGTACCATTTAGTACCGAAAATCTGGTAGACTTTCGATCTTCGAAACGAATCCGTACGGTAACACCTCATTATTGTGAGTCTCGGGACGAAAATTTATTTCCTGCAATATTTTCGTGTCAGAGGAAATGAAGCAGTGTTGAAAGAGGTACTCGATGTCAGCGAGACTTTTACTTGTATAATTTATTTCCCAGAATACTGCCAGCAGATAGGGGAGCTTCGAAGATAAAAGTACAGTAATGTTTTTCGAATGACCACCCACGATGGGAACATAAGTTCTCACTGGGTCAACGTGATTTTCTTCAACGGTGACGTCGAATTTCACTATGAATTTGAATTTTGATAAGTCGAAGAAATTTTTCGCGTCGAGAAATCTTCGACATTTCCAAATATTAACATTCGATGTAATTTTGTTTAGGATTGCTGTAACGAAGATAAGCGAAAGGATATTTGGAGTGTATGATAAATTATTCATAAGCGTACGCATTTTGAGTGTGTACGTAATATTTAAGATTCTTATCATTTCTGATAGCATATCAAATTGCATTTCTTGTTTTGTCAATGATTTATCAACGTACGGTCACTTTTACCCACGACCAGAAATATAGATACCTGAAGTTCGGTCGATGGAATTTGATCTAATCGATACGACACAATGCTCGATATTTGCGTATTTTTAGAGTGTTCGTAAAATTTGAAAATTTTACAGAAGCAACGATAGGCTAACGGAATATTTAACGAGAAGTTGAAGTGAGGCTATCGATAATCGGTGAAGAAGGAATCCTGCTACAGAAACTGTTTCAGACGAAAACTGATCTTACCAGGCGTTTAATTTTAAATTTAAAAAGTTGCATCAATCATAGCAACTCTCCATAATTTTTTAAATATTTTTGATACGATTAACTATATAGAAAAGGAAACGAATGTTCTTAAAAAGAGGAAATAGTATAATATTAAGAAACAGAGCAATTTGTACATTTTGGTAGAATAAAGAGGATCCTGATAAACATTGAAAGTGTTCACATTTCACATTCGGAGTCAAACTTCACGATGAACAAAACGTGATTACAGAAAGCATATATTTGAACAGAAATTTCCATGTTGCGCAACGAGGATCAGAACGGTTAAATGTATTTCGTTTCTATCTGTAATCGAAAAGTGTGGCTCTATAAATAAGAGGATATCCGAAACGATCGGTTCGATGGGCAATTGTATAAAGCCTGTCGATCCTTTGGTTGCTTCTCTTCCGAGAGGCATCACTGTCGATGGTTCGCCGATTAAGGAATCGGGAGTGCCGATCATTTTTGTAATTGGAGCACCCGGATCTGGAAAAAGTTACTTGCTTTGTTAATACTTGTTGCACGAAAAATTTGTTTGGTTGTTCATAACCTCGTAGCACAGTTAACTTTCTCATTCTCCGTGTAATTTTGTTTGAAAACTAAAATTCAAAGTATTTGAAAAATACTAATAAAATCTAAAACTTGGAAAATTTCAACATTTTAATACTCGAGAATTGTAAAATTTTCAACGTAAAACGTGACAAAAATTTGTTTATTTTATTTTTCGTTACACTTCTCCATTTTACCGTTTAAATTTCATCTTATCATAATTATTCAAACAGAATCCAAAATTCTATGCTTTACCATAGACAAAGTGCGAAGGCAAAGACGAAAGAATTGGGTTTCTCCTACGAATCCTTAAAGATTTATGAATCATTCCAGAAACATTATGCACGAAAGTCGCTCAAAAGTATGGTTTCCACGGCATAATAACCTCGGAAATTCTTCGAAGCGAGGTGTCCAAGCGGACAGACCGAGCGTTCGTGTTGGCGCGTTTGATATCGCAGGGTCGATTGGTGCCTTCGGATATACTGATTGAATTGATCACGGTGAAGATGCTCGATCAGTTGCAGGATGGAAAAGGGTTCATTGTGAGTGGATTTCCGCGGGAGAAACAGCAGTGCAAAATATTCGACAGAGAGATACGACCACCGGATCTCGTCTTATTCCTCGACGTACGAAATTCTGTCTTGTCCGATCGAATAATGGCCAGAAGTGTGAAAACCACCGAACGAATGTCCATCAGCTTCGACAATATCAGAATTCAGATCAAAGAGTTCAAAAAACAAAACAAACCTGTAATTAAGCATTACCAGAATCTGTTAGTGGTGATTGACGGGGAATACGACGTGATGACTGTGTTCAAGAATATTTGCAAAGTGATCGACGATGTTTTATTCAATTTCAGTAAGAATTCTGCGACCACGTCAGCTGATAACAGTTAAACAGCGAAAACATTCTTTATAAATAAGAAAAAGTTCATTTAAGAGGAAGATTTTTATCAGAGCGTATTAGATAGATCATTTTTAATTCGGTTAGATGTAGTTTAAGTGTCGTCTGCTGATTGTTTAGTTTAAATACCATGCACTGTGACTAGAAGATCCATTGTGAATTTAATAAACACTAGAATATATTAGAACGTTCTTCATGTAGCATGAACATTTATCCCTGGATGTCCGAAGGTTGTACCGACCAGTGTAATTAAGATAGCGTTCAATGAAACAGAATCTTTGAATAAAAACTGCTTAAATCCATGTCGAACAGTTTTCTATTTTCCAAAAAATTTCTACGAATAATATCGTCGAAAAATTCTAACTTCTACAGTGTAATGATCGATTATTAAACATTTCTGCGTTTAACTGTTCCCTTTAAAAAGAAAATGCGGTAAGAAATTATTCGAATATTCGAAAGGATATTTTCCCAGCGAAATTTTTCGTTTGAGAATAATCGACAAAACGGTTCCACGTGACTTCCACTTCTATTTCCATATAATTCCACCGATGAACGGGTATAATTGGCAAACTAACTGTACGAAATAATTGGTAAACTAACTGTCGATAGCATATTTTTTCCGTGTACACACCGAAAGTGTTTTTGATGGGTATACACCAGTTACGTGTCCGCGGCCGTTTCTGCTCGCACGTACACGAATACAGTACGCCTGCATTTATTCATCCCCTGTATGTGTTTCCGCTCGTTTTAATCAGTAGATGGATGGTTGCTTCTATTTATGAGCGAGTGTACACAGATAAAATGCTCGTGCGCGCGTGGAGAACCAACTCACCGCCGTATCAATCGTTCACGTGTGTGCGTGCACGCGATTCGCTCGGCGGACATATTCATAAACACGCATGCAGTCCCCGTGGCATCTATCTGCACGTGAATCCTACTTCGCGTCTCGGTGGATGACTGATAAAACGTATTCGCGTGTGCTCGTGCCCACGGATGGACGAAGAGTTTTCGAAGCCCGGAGGGTTCGATTTTTAACGTGAAAGAAATAGGAACGAAGGAAATTGGTACTCGAGTAATTTTTATTTCCAACGTAATTACAATTACTGTTCAATTATTCTGTTACAGTTGTGTGGACAAAATATTCTCAATCGTGCAAAAGCAGATAAGATTCTCAATTTGTTTTGGAGTTATTCTAATTAATAGTTTCTCTGCCCCAAAATTTGAGGGACGATTTCACTCTTAAACACGAATATCTCCAATTGTGCTGAAAGTTTGATCAAAATTATCGTGAAATATCCCTTGTCAGAGTAGAATTTAAAAAAATTTAAAGGTAGAAATTTTTTTGTTAGCAAACTTAATACAAGATTCCGGAAATAGGAAACTTTGCCAGCTATTCGTATCAAAATCACGAACTTCTTATCCAGAAGAAAATCCAACTCCTTCCTTTTAACCATTCCAATCTAATAATCCACCGGAATCATCCGAAACACCCACGATCCTGATAACAATTACCACCAACCCTTCTCATTTTCGACTCGGCGATACCTCCACAATCCTCAACCATCCCCCTTAGGGATCTTTTTTAATCGCCCTCGGAAGATCCGTCCCTGGGATCCTGGCGGAGCGTCCATCGCACACTTTCTCACGTTTCATCGTGTACGTGGGGTAGCGACTATCGAAGTGTTCCGTTTGTATTGGAGTGGGTGGACGGGTGGTTGGCTGCGTTTATGAGGGTGCGGGCCCGAAATTGAAAAGCACCCCAGCGAGAGGTAGGCGAGGGTGGTCGTGCAGCAGTCATTGACAAGCGAAAGACCGTATCAGAGGGTAATCCTATTGGTGGACGGCCGCGTCGCGACGTCCAGGCGTCATTGGTCCGCCTTCGAGCTAAGGGGCGTGGCCTGGAGTTCCTCGAGGGTGGTAGTGGTGGGGTGAGAATGCCTGGTTGCATCCCTGGCAACGATTACCGGAAAACCACAGGGTCGTTCGGCGGTAGAAATCCAGCATGGCGGACCTGGCAACCCCTCCGGCTGAATTCACCACCACCATAGCCGCCGCCGCCGCCACCACCAGCATCACAGGCATCGACTCCGCCGCTATTATCGAGGCCACTGCGACTGTTCACCACTAAACCGGCTGGGTAGTGGATTTCGCTCGATTTGTCCGGGGGAACACTTCAGGAATCGGAAGTTCGATCGGACGATTAATTACTCCGTTAACTAGTCTTTTCAGAGCCCGACTCTTTGACGACGTCACGGGAATACAAGACGCCTAGAGACCTGACACGGTTCGACTGTTAGATACGAGCAGGACATTTACCTTTCGTAACGATTCTACGGATTTGTTCCGGAAGTTGCTACTTCGCTCATTCTTCACTCATGGTTCAATCGTTTTTCCTTTTATTGCTCCTCATATTTTTACTTTTCCTGTCACCATAAATAATAGAAGATGGTTTATTACGCGACGAACTGGTTTCGATATGTGGAAATCTGTGTGTCTAGAAATTTAAAGGCCCCCCTTGTATCCTTTACTTTTCCATTACCTGACCAATCAGTCAATGTAAAAAAACAAAGTTTCTAAATTAAATTGAACCAGCTGAAAGAGCATTTCTTCAAGCGGTACCTCGTTGCAACGCGCGTCTATGCGTCTGATTGCAGCGAGCGGTGCTGCCACAGCGATACCGTGTATTGTTCGAATTCGCCACGATAAAGGTGTGCAAAGGGGTGAAGCAACGTGAAAGAAGATCAGTCGAAGTGGGGAAGAGAGGGAGAACAGGGTTTCACTACCACGTAGCCAACGATCAACAATTGCACGACGTTCAGTTGGCGAAGGTAGGCGTCGTCTCGTGACGCTGGCTAAGAGGGTGGGGGGTTAGAGCGTCGGCCAGGCGTCAACCGATGCGAAGGGGTGCGCGCAGGCGCGGTGACGAGCGTCGTCGGCGAAGCGCCGCGTCAAACGTGCCGGCTATAGGTTAAATCCTCCCGCTCCTCGTTTTTGTTGTTTTTCCGGCGTTGCCTCCTGATCCCGCCTTCAAAAGTGCCAGCGGACCAATCGGTGGCCCGTGGTACGCGGGACGCCCGGCGTCGAGACACCTCTGCAACCACCAACGACGTCGACCTCCTCGTGATACGGGACGATCGCGACCAGCTAACGTCGATCTGACGCCGACTTCGAGACGTCATCCGTCGTCGTTGCTCTCGCTGACGCGGCTGCACGATCAGTATCGTCGATACTCTACACACCGTCGAGCTGATCGAGAATTTCGGAGAACGAGAGGGTCGCTAGTTCGACAAGGTGGTTTTCGCGGACCGTCGGTGTGAATCTGTGGGGTTCAAAAGGACCGAGTTGAAGGGTGATTTTCTTGCTTGAGGATAATCAGTGTGAAAACTCTGGGTATTATCGGTGGAGTACGCTTGGAATATCTACGTGAAGTTGGACTATTGGATTGGACTGTTGGTGTGCGCGAGTGTCGAAGAGTGAGTTCGTAGAGATACCTTGCCAGGTGAGAGAATTGTTGCAACGGGAGTTTTGTTGTTCGGTGAATTGTTGATTCGTATTACTGTTAGTTCTGAGGCTGTGTTAGTTTTCTGTTTGAAGGATAATTGTTGTTAGGTCGAGTGATATGAATTGTAGGATTGAAGTGTCACTCCTCGATTGGCGCGTAAGATGAATACTTAGGTTCCTCAATAGTAACTTAATAGGAATCATATGAATTTTAAGTTAATACGAAAGGATTTAGAACATTTTGTCTGTTGAATTTGCGAATGATTAGATGTAGGGGATTTTATATTACACGACTAATATTTCACGTACTAATGAAACAATGTAATCATGTTTGTACACCGATATATGTTGCAGTATATTATCTGTTACTTAACGAGGAATGTTCATTGATACACGATGAACGGAGCAACGTCGGTTACAACTTCAGAGGAACACCAACATCAACACCAACAACCACAGAACGATGCACCCCAGGAGCATCCGAGAAGTCCTACCAGCCCTCTAAGTATTCGACATGGTAAGTTAGTATTAATAAATTATCACGTCGACGAAAGTAACATTTTTTTAATAAACGTACTAATAAATTAACTTTATCAATGTTTCTTATTTTAAACGGTGTTGACATAAAAATAATTAAACTAATTCTTTACTTTTATCTATTTTTTATGATATCACCTCAAATTAAATATTTTTTATTTGAAGTTCATGAATGTAATACTCAAACATTAAATAACATGAATTTGTTATTTCACGTTATAAAAGGTCAAGCTTGAACTCACCTCCATGAATGACAAAAAAATATAAAAGATTACTTCAGGAGTTATAAACATTATTTTTAAATTTTGTATTTGCATTCGTAAAAACGATAGACTGTATTAATCTACATTCAACAGACAGGCTACGCGTAAATCATGACGCACTTTTATGCGAATTGTAGCAGTAGGGTGGTAAATGGAAAAAGAGGGTGCAGCGCGACCAACGAAATTATGCCATTAGTGTAATCAGATTTCGAGTGACCTGAAGAATTTAGTGCTGCATAATTTTCCTAGGTGTTAAACGAAGAAAGAAAAATTGCATTCCGTGAACAATGTACTTTCGTTAATCTCCTTCTACTAATAAAGCTATCAATTTTCATTGTTCGCTATGATTAAATACAATTTTCAAACGTTTCGTATTGAATCTAAAAGTAATTTTTCTTCGCCCATTTTGGTGCATATGAAATTGTCGTTTTGCATAGGGAAGTTTGAATAAAGATACTTTTTTGCTTTCTAACTATTTCATTTAATTAGAATAATTGACAAACTTTCTGTGACAATTCTCGAGTCGTTTGGTGAATATCAAATTCTACCAACTGTCGCAAAACTTCATAATCCAATAAGCGATTTGGCCGACCGCGCTCTTCATTTTCGAAATTTGGCACGTTAGAATGAAATTTTCCAATTCAATTTCTGACGGTCCTTCCAGAGATGATCCTTCCTCCTAATTGATCATTTATCTGCACTGAGTCTACCTTCGATCTCATGAAACTCTTCCAAAATACACAAGTACAACAATACGATTGAGGCCATCGATGGAAAAAGGGCACATAAAGCAATTTTTTAAAACATATAAATAATGATTTCTATTTTCAGAACGTTTTAAGTACACGTTACTGAATCCTCAAAAAAAGAAATGACATTTAATTGCACTACTTTTTATTAAATAACACGATAACGAAGACTTGGAAACCGATTTTCTTCAAATGGCATTTTGGCGCGTGCCCTTTTTCCATCAAACGCCTCAACTCTTTCCAAACTCTCTGCTTTCATCCTAAAAACTGAAGAACGATTACCTCGTGTCATTTTTGCAAGTCAAAGTTAACAATTGTTATCATATCCTCGCCGTAAACTCACGAATGTTCAAGGTACCCACGATCATAGACTTCATACACACCAGCTCTCTATTCAAAAACTCGACTTCATAGGAAACACCATTTACGACGCCTGTACCCTTCTAATGCGGCAACAATTAGTCGAGATTGAGACGGAGGGTGACCGAGGTGGTCGCTGGCAGTTACGAAACCCCTTTTTTCTTTCGAGCTTTCTGGCCAACGTCCCCTTAGCCGGTCGTCGTTTCCGCGCAGCATCCCCACTTTCGTTCCTCGATGATCCCATAATGCGGGGTCGCAGGTGGCGCCTCGCCATCCGCCAGCATTGATATGCTAATGAAATTTGACGCCCCTGCTTTTGCCCCGCGTTTTATACACACACACACACGCGCGCTTTTCGTGCGCTGGTCACCATACGGCCGCATAATTTTTCTCTTCTCGTTTAACCCCTGGCAGTCGTGGCATTTCGCGAGCCTCCGACGAGATTCGATTACCCTAATGGCGTAATGTTGTCGCGTGCACAGGCGAAACGACGTCACTGTCGCGAGAATTTAACGACTGGATCTTTATGATCGACGACGCCGGGAGGAAGTAAGAGTCGGTTGTTGGCTGTTTCGTCTACGAAGGATTACGCTGGTCTTAGGTATTGCTCGGGGGAGAGCGAGATCTGCGCTTCGGGAGTGGATGGTATCATAACGGAGGATTTATTGGGGAAAATTAGGTTGATAAAGTAGGAAGTTGGATCTGATTATTCTTGGCGAAGCAAGGGTGCGGACGACGGTGAATTTTTTTTTAGTTAAAATTGTGTTCGAGTGGAGATAAATACTTTCGATTATTTGCTCGAAGGTTATTTCGGTAAACGGGAAATAAAAATACTGGGATGAAGTAACGATAACTTTGTTGGTAAGGCAGATACAATTGAATGAAAGGTTTTATACTTTTAAAAAGTGTTAACAAATTTTTCTTTTCTCCGGAGACTGCTTGGAGGAAATTTGAAGTATGTGTTAATAATGATGAAGATAACATAGATTTATTACTGTAATACACTGTGTTATCGGTCCTACTTTTCTAAGAATATAAGAATTTTTTTTAAGTATCCAGTGAAATGAGTGAAATTTCAGTTCGTGACCAGATTCGTCGTTATTTTCGGCCTGGATTTCACATGTCGCAATTTGTGTCTCTCTGTACGCGTACGCCGGGATTAGGGTGTTAACGAGATCGAAAAGCCGACACGCTTAGGACGTTACGTGAGTCGCATTAATAAGATTGTCTCGAGTTCATCCCCCGTAACGGTAACGACGAAACGATACGATTGAATTCTTCCTGGTGTGTAGCTGGATCATGCGAATGATTCGAACGTGCTACACGGCTTTGATCATTGATTACGATTACGAATACGTATCTGTTGGATTTGATGCGATAAAGTTATCACAGGACGGACAATTCGCATTTCGCATTCATCCTTGCAATTGTAGTCGTGTGTCGGATAAATTGATATCTTCACCCTTCGCTAATCCTTGCTTGAAATTGGACAGCATTCTTTATAGACCTTTCGAAAAGCTACAACTTTGCGAAATGATTAATTTCAATTTTGTTAATTAGTTAAATTCAATTTCGTTATTTAGTAAAAATTGAAATGATTAATTTTATTAAATTTGAAATATTAATTTCTAAACTTATTAATTTTAATTTTGTGAATTGTCAAATCTCTTTCTGATTTCATTTGAAACTTTCCATCACGTAGCAGAGATTTGAGTAGAGACAAAAATCAGAGCTCACTAATTTATCATTGATTACGAAAACCAGATCCTAAATGCAAGATTTAAGCCAGTGTATTCTTACAAAATTGAATTTCTCATTAAGCATTACCTCGTATCCTCGATTTTCATCACTGTATACTCTCGCACGGAGCGAACCATTTTTACACCGTAACATGGAGAGTAAAACATTTCATCGTCTATTTTTTCTTCAAACTGATCTCTTTCCAGTAGTAACTAAAGTCCGTGGCGAGGAGTGCTCGAATCCTGAACGATTTTAAATAACTGCAGGGACTAGGGCACGGTTAAATTATTTTGTAGCGGGTTAGGTACGGGACCCTAACCTGATATCGAGCTGTTGTCGATTCGCATGGTAATTCGAATGGATCCTATCTGACCCCGCGGCATTAACGAGACCGGAACGAGTTTTCGATCGGGTACGATGTAGCCGACAAATACGATTCCGGGGAGATCTCGCGCCTCGTCAGGGCTGGCAGCGTGACTAATAAAGCCGAGTGGAGAGGCGAAATCACATTTCGTTGATCACGCAGATGTTCGCCGGTCTCCGATCTCTTTGCATTTCCATCTTCCAATTAATAGCGTTAACGCGCCACGCGGTTGTTACAGTTATTTCATCGCAAGCTTCCAACGTGTTTCCACTGTTTTTCATTGCAATTCGAATCGGTGTTTTCACGAATCACACGTGACACTTTGCGCGAGTTCGAGTTTGACACATATTTTTATTTCTTCTTCGATTTAAAGTATATATTTTTTACTGTTTCCTTTTAAAGCAGGAATTATTGAAATTAAGCAATTTCTATTTACAAAGATGATTCGCGAGAAATTATCTGTCTTCGATTGTGAAAACAAGTAATTGGACGAACTTTTAATTCTTTCTCAATAATGAATCAGATTTTACGTCGCGACTTTTTCGCTTAAGTCAAGTTTTCGGTGGTTGACACAAAGCTTCGTGGTTGAGAACTAATCCCACAGCCGAGACAACGAATGAAATAAAAAGCAAAGGGTATTTAAGGGACAAAGTGGTACTTTATATTCTCCCCATGATAGAAACAGCACATCTTTCTCTTTCTTCTGTTTCTTTCAGAAGGTATATATAAATATTTATACCGTGGTTTCTGCGAACTCATTTCTCCATGTAAATACTGTTTGCCCTCGCGATTCAGTCCGGTAAGCCTTGAGGGATGCGAAAAAGGAACCGAGAATCTCCTGGGGACAAAGACCATAGTCAGTCTACCAGAGATTCTGCCAAGAAATTCTACCATAATAATTTCCAAAAAAAAAAAAGAAGAAATATCTCTCCAAGCTTTCCAACTATTTCCAATTTTTTCTTCTTTCTCCCAATTTCTCTCTGTTCCTCGTTTAACGTTACCAACGTCGTTAACATGCCTATATAGTTCTGTCCGAATAGTTGCGTTTAATCAACGCCGATCGATAATCACGGGAAGTATTGATAACCGCTATATCATCTGGCATTTAATCGGCCACAAATCTTCAGAACGCCGACTAACTGTTCTGTAAATCCTTCCTGGCGATCCATAACGTTTTCACGTGAACTGTGAGCGTGCAATTATTTTATGTACGTGTTCGTAGGCCCCCTCTCATGAGAATCAATCAAGGGTGGAAGGTGGCACGACACGTGGGGCCCTAGTCGCACGAGCACACGGAAGAGATTTCCGGGATTAGACGAGCGTAACTGCCATCTGATCGAACAGGATGAATCAAGTTCGATCCTGGAAAAAAACTGCACCACGGATCGTAAATCTGAGGTTGTTCCATTTAAAACCAAGCGAGCGCTCGGATTGATTCCTCTGGAGATATATAAAAAAAAAAGAGAGAAAAATACAGGGAAATCGTATATTGATACGAAGGGATGGATAGCTCGTTCTTTTGTCATTTTTACTGGGTTTTCGAAAAGTTTTATGTGCAGGCGATACTTGTCTGGAGGAAAGTTATTGTTACTGGCAGATCGATAGCAATATCAAGAAATTTTCACCGATCCATCCTACGTGTAAAATAAAAAATTCAAGTCTAGTCACATAGTGAAGAAAACAATTTTCAAAAAAGAATCTAAATATCTGTGATAATCTAAAATTCTAAAGTAATTCCAAATCTATATTTTCATAAATTCATAACATAAACATAAACCACTAAACATTTCCAGAATACCACTCGATTCCTTATTTATTCACCAATACCAAGAAGTAACTTACGCGTAAATTAAAATAATTACGCACTCTTCGTTCAAAGTAAGAGTAACCTCGTTTCGCGCATGGGACGCGCCTAAGGCAGGGCTAGAACGTCCAAACCCCCACTTAACCGCCTACGTTTTTCCCCGTCTTACCCTCTGTCTATGTTCAGAACGGACGAAAATCGGTCCGAGAGCGAGGTTATTCTTATTTTGAACGAAGTGAAGAAACGTAATTTATACTCGAAAATCAAAGATTACTCCTTCGGGCAACTGTTGTCTACCAGCAGAAGAACATAACCGAGAAACCATTCGTTTCCAGACTCGGGCGAGAGCAGCGTAATCTCCCCAGGATTACCAGAGCGATACAGTCCTTTGGGGGCGACAGGATCGACCTCGAGTCACGATCCTTACGGCTCGAGGTCCGTCCAAGAATGTCCGGTTCCTCTTTGCCGTGGAATACCCACGGATTTTCCTCTCGCGAGGTCACCGTATCTAACTGCCCTGGGAAACGGCCATCCTCATTTGCTGGGACAGGTCCAGCAGCAGCAGCAACAACAGCAACAACAGCAGCAGCAACAGCAATTGCAACCGCAACACGGTAGCAAGCCACCGCGCAGCCTTGGCTTGATTTGCGTGGTCTGTGGTGACACTAGCTCCGGGAAACATTATGGAATTCTGGCCTGCAACGGATGCAGCGGTTTCTTCAAAAGAAGCGTCAGGCGAAAGCTGATATACAGGTGAGTTCGATGGAAAATTCTTGACGAAGATTTGCTTTTATTTAAATTAACTTTAAAGGAACTTACATCTTGATATTGAGTTCTTTAATTACCTAATTATGATTTACGATACAGGTCAAATTCATTCAGTTATTCTGTTTAGGTCGTTGAAAATATAAGGTTGAATTCTTCTTAGATTACCTTTTTTTTTTTCAAATAGAAGTGTATGTACAATTTGTCGCGTTCAAAACATTAACCATCCTAATTAGAATGTGTAGAATATTATACGAAGGTTTGAAGAAACGACGATTAAAAGGAATAAAATTCTATCATAACGTTCTCTCTACCGAAAAATCATTTCCTCGCATCTTCAGTCCTAAGATACAATAAAACAAACGTGGTCAAACATCTTCAAACGTGAAAATAACATCTACAAAGCTATGCAATTAATTTCATCTGCAAAATACCCCGAACGTTGCACAAAGAAGGGCTACGTTAAAACACAACCCTTGAAGCCGCATATGAATCATCCGGAACGGCGTTCAAATACCAGCAAACAAGCTACACGAAATAATCCATCTTTTCATTCCACGCGAAACCAAACACGTCGTTCAATCTAACACCAGCCGAAATCTTTTCACCGAAAGCCTCCGCAAGGGTCCTCATTCTCTCTCTCTCTCTCTCTCGTCTTCTATCACGTAGAAATTAGTAAACGGATCCTTTTACGGCGTTTACTGTCAAACTGGCCAGCCAGTGGCGCCATGTGGCCCAAGTCGAGTGGGCTCATCGTAATACCAGGCAACAATGCGGAACGGCATAATGTTGAATCCTGGAGGACCTATCCACCTAACCCGCCGCTCTCTGTATACGGCATACTATTACCATCCCCTGGGAACGGCCATCCATCTCCATCGGATCCCTCTCAACTCGGAATCGCTGTCTGATACGCTCGATCCGTTTTACACGGAGCCACGTACGGCCGGGCACGGCGGTGTGCGTGCATCCCTTTGACTACGTATACGTGACTATCGATAACAGGCGGCCATAGGTGTGCGCGCTAAGCCTGTTCGAGGAGATACACGATGCCAGGATGCTCGATATACAAACTATTAACCCCAGCGATGCTAGAAAAATAAATGCTACAGAGGCTGGAGATCGCTTTCAGCGCGTGACCGGCATGCGAATAGCGTAGAACGATGAATATTGAGTCTTGTCTATTGGGGACCGTGGAGATTTTTTAGTTTCTTTAGGTGGAGGAGCTGTGAGGAGACGAGAGGTGGAAGGTACAGTTGAATGTGATGGAAGAGTATATACTAAAAATTTTCTTGTCAAAGCAGGTAGAATGTTTCTTTGGGACAAGTCTATGAGCGTCAAAAATAAATGAACTGGAGTATTGTAATGATATTATTTCCTTTTTTCTTTCGTTACAGTTTCATTAGTTGCAATAATTTATTAAAAAATATACACATACATACTGATGTAATTG